CTAGCCACACAGAAAAATGGACAGGATCAGGCTAACAGTGCCTCAGTGAGATCACTTTATGCTACCATGGGGAGAAACAAACTCAGCTTTGCAGGAAAAGTGAGACTTGTATATTTCTGAGGCTGAATATTCACCATAATTCCAGAAGTATGTCCTACAGCAGTGGTTCTTAAACCTTGGGTTACTCAGGTGTTTTTGGACTGCAACTCCCAGAAGCCTTCACCACCAGCTGTGCTGGCTGGGGCTTCTGGGAGTTACAGTTCAAAAACACCTGAGTAACCCAAGGTTAAAAACCACTGACCTACAAGTCTGTATCTAGAGACATTGCTATGCTAGTGCAAGATCTACTCAGCTGTTCCGGAGTTAGCAAAACGGTAGAAATCAAATACTTGCACAAGAAACCACACATGCCTGCTGCCTTTTGAACTCCTTCTTGCATAATGAAGAAATCCCACACAAATATGCTAGCAGGGTTTTGTTTTTGTTTTGCTAGATGTGGGCCACTAACCTCAAAAAGATTTACTCCCAAGTAGGAGACCTGGGTTCACGTTGCCACTTGGCCATGGAAATTCGTTGGGGTGGTGAACGGACAAAGCCACTCCTTAAACACCTCACATATCTTGAAAAACTTCATTAGGGTCACCAGAAGACAGATACCACTTGATGGCCCACAACAGCAGCAACAACAAGCATATAGGTCTCATACCTTTGCAGGAGTAACTCCTAGTCAACACGGAGGAACTTATTTCAAATATTGGATCAGCCTGGGATTGGGTTTCATGGATTTTACAGTTGTGCCTCGCTTAACGATTACCTCGTTAAATGACAAAACCGCTTGATGATGAAGTTTTTGCAATCGCTTTTGTGATCGCAAAACGATGTTCTAATAGGGAAAAATTACTTAATGATGTTCGGTTCCATGCTTCGGGCACTGATTTTTCACTAGACGCTGATTTTAAAACAGCTGATCAGCGGCTCTAAAATGGCTGCCCGCTGTGCCAAATGGTTCCCCGCTGTGATTTAGGACAGATTCCTCGCTTTACAGGCAAAAAAAAATGGCCGCCCCTATGGAGGATCTTCACTGGACGCTGAGGTATTTAGCCCATTGGAACGTGTTGAACTGGTTTCAATACATTTCAATGGGCTTTTCTGTTTCACTTGACGAGGATTTCACTTAACAGCGATTTCAATGGAACGAATTATCCTCGTCAAGCGAGGCACCACTGTATTTAAGGTAAAGGTAAAGGTTCCCCTTGACAATTTTTGTCCAGTTGTGTTCGACTCTGGGGGCGGTGCTCATCCCCGTTTCCAAGCCACAGAGCCAGCGTTTTGTCCGAAGACAATCTTCTGTGGTCACATGGCCAGTGCGACTTAGACACTGAACGCTGTTACCTTCCCACCGAGGTGGTCCCTATTTATCTACTTGCATTTGCATGCTTTCGAACCGCTAGGTTGGCGGGAGCTGGGACAAGCGACGTGCGCTCACTCCGTCGCATGGATTCGATCTTACGACTGCTTGGTCTTCTGACCCTGCAGCACAGGCTTCTGTGGTTTAGCCCACAGCGCCACCACGTCCCCCACCACTGTATTTACCCATCAACAAAACAGCATCACTACAAACTCGGAATAACTGTCTGCCATGATATTCTGCTCACAATAGCTACGTAAATGATGATTGCAATAAAGACTAATACATAAACTCAGAATAACTGCCATGATACTCTGCTCACAATAGCTAAATGATGATTGCAATAAAGACTAATACATGTAACTGGAACAGATACATATTCCTCCTCCCTTTATCCCTGCCCCACCCACTCTTCCTTCCTCCACTGTGTCCTTAGTGAGGTGTTCTACATTTCAAGATTCTTGGGACAGGGCCTATCGCATGCTGTAAAACACCATGGACTGAGTATTGGGATTATTCCAGTACTAAGAATAATTGATCTACGTGAGGCAATGAAAAGCAGGGTCTTTCCTACCCCTTTCCTGAGTCTGCTTGTCAGCAAACTGGGGGCTCTAATCCACATGAGGGCCTGTTGTACAACTCTGTTGTACAGCTTGGAAAAGTTCTTTTTCTGGACTACAATGCACATTCTTGAGCTGCAGTCCAAAACTAAAGCCCTACACTGTTAAAAGGAAGCTAACTAATTCATTGTGGTACCATCTTCTGTGATGGGCACGCAAGTTTTCTGGAGAAAGTTCACGCATCTGCAGAAACTGTGCTGATGCAGCTAAACCCTCCAGTGTTAATAAAGAGAAGAATAGGTGTATAAACAACAGGAAGGCTATCTATTGTGCATCTGGTCCCTTAAAATGTGCTCTGGACCAATCTTGGCATTAGAGGGAACAATGCAGCTATCTCAAGAAGCAAACTGTGTCAGGAAAGATGGCAGCAAAATGTTCGTTATTTAATTTGCTGCTGTTTTATTTTTACTACCAGAAACATAAATAGATGTTTCAAAAAAAGTTGCAGTCATAGTTTGTCTGGTTTTGGAAACTGCATTTTGACTTGGGTGACTGGGGGGGGGGCGCTTTGTCTGCTACTCTCTATCAGGCAGCAAAATGTCTTGTAGGCAGATAAATGGATAAAATGAAATTGGCTGTACTGCAATTATTTCATTAAGACTTATGCCCACATAAGCGGATATAGGATCACAGCCAAAACATATTGTCCTGGCACCTCATCTAAACAAGACAATCAACCAATCTGTCGTCACCAGGAAGTATTTTTGTTGCCATCAAAACATGAGAACAAACTCCATCTCACATACGCCACCAGTCCAGATAATCAGCACAGAATTCAGTGCAGTTTTGGAATACATTTCTGAGTATTTTCCCAGGAGGGCTTTGACCTGATGGTAGATCAGATATATTTCTTAGAACCTTTAAACCACTTACTCCATGTAGTGCCATAACTCTGGCACGAAAAGTTATAAAACAGACACTCATTTTTTAAAAAATTAAAAATTGGAAAATACGTCCTCTGAACTTTCAGTTATACATGTGGCAAGCTACTTTCCACATCTGTGATTCATTCTTATAAAATAAGTTTTGCAGATTCCATTTCTGTCAAATTAAATTTATCCTCTGTCCATGCTTGCACTGACTGTATAGCATTAGACAATTTTTCAACGAGTCCTAGAGTGATAAACAAAAACAAAACAAAAAAACCTCATGAGACATGAGTTATGCGTTTAACTTTCACTTCATTACAAATCTTTGCTAACAACATGAAGTAATTCCGGCATTAAAACACAAACACACATTCCCCTCTCCATTCTTAACCATACGGTAAGAGCAAGAAATGCAGCACTGTTTTATTAATGTGAAAAGATTTTTTTTAATTTGCTCAGGATAACTTTCGTTTTTAAAAGCTACGATCTTGGAAGGACATACTACAGAAAAAAGTTCCATGATTGAATGTAGTAAGTACACCGGCACAGAATTGTGCCTCCTGGAATGTCATGTTTCCTCAATCTTTCAAAGCAACATGCATAAGACTGGCCTATAAAGATAGATAACTGCTTGATAAATTACTCCCACTTCAAAAAAAGTAAAAAAGCACTGTCTGTTTATGTCAATATTACAAACATGTAAACAGGAGTTCAACAAACCTTTAAAGAACTCATCTTTGCACAATCCATTAGCTTTGCTATAGCTATAAAACAAGCACACTTGGTATTATATACAATCATACATAATCATATATTAGTATTTGTGCATAACATTATGGTGCTGTACATTCAACAGTATATTCAAACTACTATCTTTATGGTTATCATCAAAGTAAAGAATTGTTAATATGTTAATCATTTGCCTTTCAGTCAATTAATTAATCCACTGAAGTTGTCCTGAGCAAACACAAAAATGTACTAAAAGATTGCCTCCTCTAAAATGTCATGGTGAGAATACTGGAGAAACTGTATGATCATCTTAAATGTAACAATTTTTTTCTATTTTTTTTTTTTAAGAACAAAAATCCCATGTTTGCCATCAACACGCTATAGCTGAAACAGACTAAAAGCGGAGTTCAGTGTGCCCTTACTATCTCTCAACCTCAGTGATAAACACTTCACCCTTAACAACCAAGAATCAATTGATCCATCCATCCATCAAAACACCAATGAAAGCTTTCTGCCATTAATTATTATGTGTGCATGAATAAAAATCATACTGTCAAACCCAGCAGTATTTGGCATACAAAACCCACTGGCTGCACATGCATACAGCACACAATGTGCAATCCTAATGTGTCTGGATACACTGCACATCTAATCAGGAGCAAAGATCAAAACTATCCATTTGTTTTAACGCACTTAGACAGCCAACATGGATATTCAGAATTACACTATATTCACAATTAATCCCAGGCTTCTTTTTTCAGAGGCTCTATTTGAATTGAGCACCCCTTGGTGTGTGTAGGCACGTTTCCTATCAAAAAGCCAGCGGTGTGCTTCGAAACAACGCCACCCATTTCCATTCGCATCCCTTCGCGGGAGCGATGAACCTCGCACTTCAACCATTCGG